AGTTGGGGCCGGCTCGGGTTCATAGTTGGGGCCGGCTCGGGTTCATATGAATGTAAGGTTTATATGAATGTCAGGTTTATATGAATTTACAGAATGAACAATGTACACAAGACATTTATCACACCTCTGTCCATCCTGATAGAGGGATCCCTCCTATGTCGCTCTTCCTAAGGTTTCTTCCTCTTTTCTCCCCTTTAAAGGTTTTTTTTTTTGGGGGGGGGGGGGGTTCTTCTTGTTCCGATGCGAGGGTCCTGGGAAAGAGGTTGTCGCATGTGTACAGATTGTAAAACCCTCTGAGGGGAATTTGTGATTTTGGGCTATACAAAAATAAATTTGATTGAATCACAGCCACCAGTCCGCCCACTCACCTGGATGAATCACAGCCACCAGTCCGCCCAGTGACTCCACCCCCCAGCGGCCGTGGAACTTGGAGTCCACGTCCAGACAGAAGACGTAGTCGTCGCTGCGGTTCGGAAGTTGCTCCTCTATCAGCGTCTGGATGAGCTCCATCCTCCGAGCGGAGATCTCCTGCCAACGCTTCGAGCTGGGCACCGAACGCACCGTCAGCTGGAGGAGGAAGTCATTTCATATCAAAACATATCAGGAACCCTGTGTGGGAGTTTAAGGGAAGAAATCAGTGTCAACGTGCTTGTTTACCTGACGGCCGGCAGCCATCCTGACTTGGGGAGCCTCATTCGGCCGGTCGGTGAATACGTAAATGTGCACTTTGAAACCAACGAAGAAGTGCTGCTCTGCTGTCTCCAGGAAGTCTTTCAGGAACATGATGTACCTGTCCAGATGGCCAGAGGGGTCACTTCCAGGTAAAAGGTCAGAGCAGAGACGTAGAAACCACAACAACGTTGTGACGTCATACTTACTTCCCAACAGCGAACACGGTGGCTGAGACGGTGATGTTCTTTGATTTGTAGATGCTGTCGAGTAGAACCGGGTTAAAGGTTCCCTCCCAGACGACAGGAGCCAGCCAGGGCGTCACCGTCACCACGTCGGTACGACTACGGTTAAGAACACGGACTGACATCATCAACAAACAAACAAGCAAGCAAGCAAACAAGGACTATGAGTGATACTCACCCTCGTAGGATGCTCGGCTGTTCGTACTGCAGACTAAAACACAAACAGTTCTCTCATTACAACACAAAACAACAGTCTGAGGGGTAGTTAGCATTGTTAGCACCGTTCCTGTTGTTTCAGCCACAGCGTTAGCAAAGAACAGTAAAGTCTGTTGATGATCATACTGAGAGTATGGACAAGTACTGGTTAGCAGGTGTAATCAACACATAATCTGATGAAGGTACTCACTGATCAGGAGCCACCAGGTGGAACTCATGACTCACAGGGATGACATCATCAGCAGCCAATCTGTGCATGCACAGACAGACAGACAGACACAGTATATGAAGACAAAAAGTGACTATAACTTGTTTCTTGTGTCTCTGTAGTTTTATAGATTACGTAAACAGGCGAACAGGGTGGAGCTGATCAGTACACACTCAGGGAAAAGGTTCCAAAGTTATACTGACCCGTTCTGTTGATTGATGTTCTGCTTGAAGAGCTCAACGCCTCTGTAACACACACACACACACACAGATTAACTTCAGTATTTGTTGGTTTACTAATCACTCGGGGCAACACCTCCTCGTTGTCGTTTCCTCTGACAGGTCAGATTAGTTATTGTTCATGTCGGTGAATGACTGATGGTTTTTCTATATGTTATAGTTTGTTGTGACATTTGTTGTGTTCTTTTTATAGTTTGTTGTGTATTTTATTGTAGTTTTTGTGTAGGACTTATGTTGGGATGGAACAGAAAAACATCAAACCCTCTCAGTTTAAACAACACACACATATCGTCTTCATCATCGTCAGCTTTTCAGCATCAGGCATTCACACTTTATTATTTAAATATATGATACAGTTCCTATAACACGTTATTATTAGTGCTGGGCAACGATTACAATTTTTAATGGCGATTTATTGCATGATTATGCACAAAGCTCAATAATGAATTCAAAAGTAGTGTATTGCACACTTTTATTTTGAAAGTGCTGCTATATGAACAAAAGGGCAATAACATTTGGTTTAAACACTTTAAACACATCAGGTTCTTGTTAGCAGCAGTATTCCCTTTACACAGTAGCAGTAATAACACAGTTATAATGATTCTGATCATAGATATTCAGCCGGTGTTCACAACTTTATCTTCATGTGTGTAAGAGATATTTAAATATACACCTTAAAAACTGCAAACCTATCTACGTCATGTTTTAGGTTTGTTAAATTCTCAGTAGTAATACTACTGAGAATTTAACACTTTAAAAACAATAATTTAAATGAATCATTTATTTTTTGGGTATTTTGGTCAGACACATATGCAACGCTGATTACCGTAATATGTGTGGTATTTGTTATAAATGTACGTTGGTACATAGAGGGTGATAAGAAGCTGTACATGGAGGGGCTTAGGACCCAGGGGAAAGTAGGTGAAGGAAACAGGGAGAAACGGAAGAGACGCCACACAAACAGCTGTTCACCGCTCGCTGCCGGCCGGTTGGCCTGGTGTTAAAAATGTCCGCTTAATAAGAAAAAAAATTAACTGCGTTAACACGTGACAAAACAATTGTCGGCGTTAATCAATTAATGCGTTAACTTGCCCAGCACTAGTTATTAATATATATATATTATTATGTTATACTACCTGTAGGACAGGGAGATGTAGCAGAACAGGACTCTGTGGGTTCAAATAGAAACACAATCGATCATTAATAGCAGTATATGCGTTTCAAACAGTAATAGTCGTAGTAGTAGTAATATTAGTATCAGCAATAGTAGTAGCTGTAGTAGTAGTAGTAATAATAGTAGTAGCAGCAGCAGCAGTAATAGTAGTAGCTGTAGTAGTAGTAACATTAGTAGTATCAGTAGTAGTAGCAGCAGCAGTAATAGTAGTAGCAGCAGCAGCAATAGTAGTAGTAGCAGCAATAGTAGTAGTAGCAGCAATAGTAGTAGTAGCAGTAGCAGTAGTAGCACATTACATTACATTCATTTAGCAGATGCTTTTATCCAAAGCGACTTATAATTCAGTCTATCACATTTCTACACCGTAGGCACAGCTACGGGAGCAATTTTCGAACCACCCTCTGATTGAAAGACGGCCCTGCTATCCACTTAGCCACAATCGCCCCACATTAGTAACATTAGTAGTAGCAGCAATAGTAGTAGTAGTAACAGCAATAGTAGTAGTAGCAGCAGTAATAGTAGTAGCTGTAGTAGTAGTAGCATTAGTAGTAACATTAGTAGCAGCAGCAGCAGTAATATTAGTAGCTGTAGTAGTAACATTAGTAGTAGTAGCAGTAGTAGCACCAGCAGCAGTAATATTAGTAGCTGTAGTAGTAGTAACATTAGTAGTAGTAGTAGCAGTAGTACTCACCCCAGCATCAGAGCCGACAGCACGACCACAGTCAAAGCTTTAGTGTTGATCAAGTGCTTCATTTTAGAGTCTCAGTCCACCACTTTAGTCCTGATCCACACGGTCAGAATCCTTAATCCAGACTTGATCCACTGAGACCAGATCCTCTTAGGAGTAGCTACTCTTGGTTAGTCCTGGCCCTGTTCAGTCTGTAGTCGATCAGCAGGTTCAGATAAATCCAGACTCTCAAACTGTGAAGAAGAGTTCAAGTTTATCTCGAGACAGACAGACGTGAAACATAACTCAACACGTTTTCATAGGTTCTATTTATTTAACCCTCTATGGACCTAATCCTATTTTTAATTGTTTTTAAACTTGAAAACAGTATATACTATCACATGACATGTTCAACATATACCATCACCTGACATGTTTAACGTATATACAGCATATACTATCACCTGACATGTTTAACGTATACCATCACCTGACACGTTTAACGTATATACAGCATATACCATCA